CAATATAGGGACTGATTGACGATGTCAAAGCTGGATATTGGTTAACTTGGTGAAAACGATTTTATTCAGTAACTGCTGACAAGAGGCAATAAATGAGCTCCATTTGAATGTGTACAGACGTGATTGGGTTTTTTAAAAAAATTTTTAATTAATTTATTTGTTTATGGCTGTGCTGAGTCTCCCTTGCCGTGAGGGCTTTTCTCTAGTTGCGGTAGGGGCTGCTCTTCATTGGGTGAGCACATTCAATGCTCTTCATTGCCGTAGCTTCTCTTCTTCCAGAGCACAGGCTACAGGCGTGAAGGCTTCAGTAGTTGCGGCTTCTGGGCTCTAGACTGCAGGTTCAGTAGTTGTGATGGGGGCTTAGTTACTCCATAGTATAGAGGATCTTCCCAGGCTAGGGACTGAACACGTGTTTCCTTCTTTGGCAGGACGATTCTTTACCACTGAGCTACCAGGGAAGCCTGAGACTGGGCAATTGAAAGGGAGAATGAGGAAATAAAAGGGGGAGTGTGGGGGCTCACGTGAAAAATTACAAAGAGTTGTTCAGTGTAAACGTGATTAGGTCAGCTGCATCTGCTGAGGGACATTCTTGAAGTTAGGATTCCATCCTCTTGGAGACTGGAGACAGGCCCCATCCTTCCTGATGGTTGCATTTCTAAGGAGTGACCTTCAGGTCATTGCGAAAGACATTTCTGAGTTAAAGGAGATACAAATGCATCTCAAAGGGGCAGAGAAAGGTTCAAAACTGCAAGTCCTTTTTCATCAGTGTTCTAAGGTGGCTCAGTGGTAAGAATCTGCCTGCCAGTGCAGGAGACACAGGTTTGACCCTTGGGTCAGGAAGATGCCCTGGAATAGGAAATGGGAAACCACTCCAGTATTCTTGTCTGGGAAATCCCATGGACAGAGGAGACAGGTGGGCTATGGTCCACAGAGTCGGACACGACTGAGCACACAGGCATGCTAAGAAAGGGAAGTTGGGAGACTATTCTCAGGTAATGGCTGGAAAAAAACTGTAAATTCTTTTAGCAGAATTTCTCAAGAAGACATTATAATGAGAGGTTGGGATCTTCCTAGTGACATAGCCTTATGCTGTTAGAAGTCATGGTAGACTGTGGTTGTCTCTTAATACAAGCATTTGGACTGAGTTCTCTCTCCCAGCGCCTCTTGGCACTGCGAGGCTTGTGGGACTTTTTGTTCCCCATTAGAGATCAAACCTGGGTCCTTGGCAGCGAGAGCATGCAATTCTACCACTGGACTGCCAGGGAATTACCTAGACTGAGTTCTTATTTGCTGAGAGTTCTGCAATTCTCAAAGGCATAAGTAGTTATGGAAATTCAGATGCCTTCAGTCAGGCCAAACAGTAAAGAGATTTGCAAAAATAAAAAGCAGTTTCCTACCTTGCTAGCTGGGTGACCTTGAGCAGGTTTTTACCTCTCTGAGCCTCAGATACCTCAATTGTAATGTTAGCTACCTCAGAGGATTGTGATGAGGGTTAAATAAATTAATGATACATGCGAAGTGCTTAACACAAGCCTAGCACAAAGTCAGTGCTTGATATATACTTTCTCCTGGTACAGAGCAGTTGATATATAGTATTCCTGCTATGAGGTATATGTGTGATACGTGAGATGTATGTGTGTAATACGTGATTTGTGGTGGTGACTGGGATCCCCCATGCTGCCAGGGAAAGGCTCCTGCCAAGAGGTGGCCAGACGGAGAATCCTCCAGGGTGGATGGAGGAAGAGGCCACTTTCCAATGGGAATGACTGGATAGGGGGCCGCAGTGTGTGGGGAGCACAAGGTGGTCCCTCCTCGCTGACTCTGAGCCCAGCATTATGCGGAGGGTTTCCACGTGTGCAGGAGACACAGTAACCACCCTTGAGTTATCTACATCTCCCCCACCTCCAGCTAGAGGGCTTTTCCTGCCCGCATATCTCATGTCTGAGAAGAGCGAGGCATGGCTCGGTGATATGAGAGAAGCCTCGTTTCTCCTCCAGAGATGAAGGGGAAATATGATGCAGCATGAGTTCTGCTGATAACTCGACCTGGACATCATTCAGAATGCTTAGTATTAACACATACATTTGCATTTTATATTCAGGGTGTCTAAGGAGAAAACGCAGCATCATTGGCAACTAGGCTCGGAGCAGCACAAATGGGATTTATGTCTACATGATAGAGTCACTGCTGAAGAACGTCAGGGCTGGGGTCCGATCTGTTTCTGGAAACCAATCTCAAGCGGGAATTGTATGAATCACATGCGACATCCACGTGTGTAGACAGAGCTGCAGTTTATTTATTTTGGTTGCACTGGGTCTTCAATGCTGTTCGCAAGTTTTTCTCTAGTTGAGGCAAGTGAGGCATACTGTCTAGTTGTGGTCCAGGGAGTTCTCACTGCAGTGGTTTCTCTTGTTGAGGAGCATGGCTCTAGGGTGCATGGGCTTAGCTGCCCCGCAGCATGTGGGATCCTCCTGGGTCAGGGATCAAATAGGTGTCTCCTGCATTGCAAGGCGGATTCTTAGCTGGACCACCAGGGAAGCCCCCAGAGCTGCAGTTTAAACAGTTTAATGGAACAGATACTGTAAATATCACTTAACTGTATTCATGTTTAGATAAGAAAGCTTAAGCAAAATGGATTGACACAGCAGGCCTGAGGCTGCAAGCCTGAACTTCCCAGGTAGTGCCAGTGATAAAGAACCCGCTGGCCAAGGCAGGAGATGTAAGAGATGTGGGTTTAATCCCTGGGTTGGGAAGATCCCTTGGAGGAGGGCATGGCAACCCACTCCAGTGTTCTTGCCTGGAGAATCCCATGGACAGAGGAGCCTGGCAGGCTACAGTCCATGGGGTCGCAAAGTCGCACGTGGTTGAGTGACTCAGCACACACGCAGCACTTGTGCAAGCCTGATCTCTGGCTGGCACCTGGGAACTTGGCCTTTAGTGTTGTCTGTACTGCGCCTAGACTGTGGAGACAATGTCGTTCACACTGAGCATCTGCTGGCCTCCTGGGGGTCTGGATCATGGTACCTGCTGGGCAGGTGTCTGTTTGCCTGGTGCCTGCTGTGCTTTGTATGACCCCTCAAGGGAAGCATAGAGAGCAGTTGAGAGCTGCACATGGATTCACCCAGACTTCGCCTGCCTTTTCCCTTATGATCCAACTTCGTGTGCATCCCTGTAACACCACTGCCCTAAATCTCAGCCATGAGTGCAACTATATGCTGAGTCTCATGAATTCCTCTAGAAAATCTCCTGATGTGGGAATGGCCTTGTGGACCCACAACAGTTCCACTGCTGGTTTTATCAAAAATATATTCAGCAAAATTTTGATATCTCTGTGTTTAAAAGCAGGAAGAATGGACTTCTGTTAGGAGCCCCTGGGTCATATGTAACATAGATATGGCGTTTTGTGTTTGTGTTAGTTTCTCTGTCGTGTCTGACTCTTTGCGACCCCATGGATTATAGTCTGCCAGGCTCCTCTGTCCATGGAACTCTCCAGGCAAGAAGATTGAAGTGGGCTGCCATTCCCTTCTTGAGGGGATCCTCCAACCAAAGGATTGAACCTGGGTCTCCTGTGTTTGTGTGCTCAGTCACTAAGTCACATCCAACTCCTTGCAACCCATGGACTGAGGCCCACCAGGCTGACTCTGTCCATGGGATTTCCTAGGCAAGAATACCGGAGTGGGTTGCCATTTCCTCTTATATTTAGGGGATTTTTAAAAAGCCACAAATCTAAGAGAAACCAACGAAAACAAAATAGATATATGGATATACAATTGTGAGATTACTCTTTACAATATATTGATTCCAGGGACCTCTCTGATGGTACAGTGCTCCCAATGCAAAGGCCTGGGTTGAGGAACTATATCCCATATGCTTCAATTAAAATTTTGCATGCTGCACCTTAGAAAAAATAAAGACCCCACATGTCGAAATGAATACCAAATATCTCACCTAATGCAACTAAAATATAGTGCAGCCAAATAACTAGTTAATTTAAAAGACTGGCCCAGCAAGCTGTAATTCTAACACTTCCTTTCATGTGTGTCTTATGCATGTTCCAATTTGGAACCACTGGCCTCTGGGTATGAGAACCATTTGAGAAGACAGGTCTCAGATTCCTATGTCACATGAGCCCGCTTTTTGGCCCCTGAAGAGTGTCTGGTTTGACTTATGAAAGGGTGAAACCCTTCCCAGAACAGGACCTGAAACACTCATGTGTACACAGCAGCTGCTGTCCTTCCATTCCTCCCCGCCCCCAGCAGGCATCCTTGTGTGATTCCCAGGGGGGCAGGACAGAGGAGCCTGGGGTGCTGCAGTCCATGGGGTTGCAAAGAGTTGCGACTAAATAACAACAATGAGAAAAGGCAAAGAAAAGCTCCCCAGATGGGGTGGGGCTGGTTAACGGGACACTTTGCTTTGGGATGGAAAAGGGAAGAACTAAGTGATGATGAAGGTCCTTGGAATGGCAAAATAAGGAAGCCCTTGTTCTGAAGCACAATAGAGCAGATTCCCTAGTCCCTCAGAATTTTTTTCCCCTTTGTCAGAACATAACTCATTCTCTATTTTTTTTTTTTTTTTTGCTGGCCCACAGCCAGATACTTAAGAGGAGAAAATCTGGAGTTTCACAGACAGTCCTTCAATGAACCCTACTTTCCTGCTACACTCTGCCAGGGCGGCTGTGACCTCTACTGATGCAGCCCCTCTTTACAAGTTCCTGACTTCAAACTTTCCCACTCCGCACCTCCAGGTGCTGTCACCTCACTCAAACCTGCAATTAAGAGCCTCTCCTACTTGCTTCACCATTATGGATTTACATTTCAGCCTTTTTTATGGAGGGCTTCCCAGGTGGCTCAGTGGTTATAAAAAACAAACAAACAAATCTGCCTGCCAATGCAGCAGCCATGGGTTTGATCCCTAGGTCAGGAAGATCCCCTGCAGAAGCAAATGGCAACTCACTCCAGTAGTCTTGCCTGGAAAATCCCATGGACAGAGGAGCTTGATGGGTTACAATCCACAGGGTTGCAAAGAGTCAGACGCAACTAAGCACACACATACTTTTTTTTTAATGTGCTGCTGAACTGACCTTAATCAACCATCTGCGTACAAATTTTTATGTGCTGTAACATTTTGTATACATACTGTTTTTGGTCCTGTTTTCACTTCATTTGACATTTTTCATATTGCTATGGACTCACTTCTGATTAGTCAACCTAACTGAGCAAGAAAGTTAGAGCACAATGGAGTGCCCAAAAAACTGAGTCTTTTAACTCCAATAAAAACCATTTTATAAAACTTCCCATCCTTAGTATTCCTTCAATTTGTGTTTTTTATTGCTGGTTTACACTGAACTTGGCTGGCCCCAAATTTCATCTCTAACACCATCTTCCTCATGTAATGGTTTCTTCTTAGGTGGAATGTTTGGAGCTCTGTGTCAAGAATATTTTTCAGTTCACTATCATTTCCAGGAATGTGTTACTGGGACAATGTCTGACTCAGATTGGGTGGTTGTTCGGACTATAAAAGATTATCTGGTGGGTACAGCTCCAGTCTGTGTTTTCTAATTCCTGCTGAGAGCTCTGACAATGTTTTTTATCAGTAGTCATATTCATAGCTTCTCACCTAACTGCAGAAGTAAATATATTTTAGTGTACAAACAAGTCCTTCATGCTGCTTTTGAAAACTGTGGGCTCCTGAGTTTTACTGCTAGAGATTCTGATTTAGTAAGCTGAGGGTAAGCTTGGTAATGTGCAGTTTCAACACACACACTCCAAACAATTCTGATGCCTGCAGTCATTAGACTACAGTGACAGTCATATCTTGTCTAGTAAAGGAAGTCTGGCAGTGAGGGTTTTCATCTTGACTATTCACAGGGTTTCTTCCCTATGAGTCTTCTCATGTTGAATAAAGGATGTATTATAACTGAAAGCTTTCCCACACATATTACATTCATAGGATCTCTCCAGTATGGTTTCTCTGATGCCTAGTAAGTTGACACCGCTGGCTGAAGGCCTTTTCACAATGTTTACATTCAGAGGGTTTTTCCCCAGTGCGTGTTCTCTCGTGTTTTGTAAGGGTTGATCGATCATTGATGGTCTTCCCACAGTCAATGCACTCATAGGGCTTTTCTCCAGTATGTGTTCTCTGATGTTCAATAAGGTGTGACCTCTGACTAAAGGTTTTAACACACATGTTACACTGACAGGGCTTCTCTCCAATGTGCATTCTCTGATGCACAGACTGGAGCCCTTTGGCTGAGAGCTTTTCCACAGTGACTGCATTCATAAGGTTTCTCTCCAGCACGTGTTTGCTGATGCACAAGCTGAGTTCACTGCCGAAAAGCCTTCCCACTGTCGTTACACTCATATGGTTTCTCTCCAGAATGAACTCTCTAATGTGAAATAAAGTGAGAGCTCCCAGTGAAGCCTCTCTCACATGGATGATATTCAAATGGTTTCTCTCCAGTATGAGTTCTCTGATGTTCAGTAAGGTGAGAGATTCCAGTGTAGGCTTTATCACACTGATTGCATTTATATGGCTTCTCTCCAGTGTGAATTCACAGATGCCTAATAAGTTGAGTGCTTCAAATGAAGGATTTACCACACTATACTCATATTCATAGGGTTATAGTCATAGGATTTCTCTCCATTGTAAGTCCTTTTACATGTGACAAAGTCAGAGCTCTGACTGAAGGACTTTCCACAATGAGTGTACTCCTAAGTTTTAAGGCAGTGTGAATTATTTGATATACAATAAGGTTAGAGTTCCACCTGAAAGATTTTTCACATTTCCACATGACATTTATATGGTTTTTCTCCAGTGTGAGTTCATTGATGCCTAACGAGTTTGGAACTCTGGGTGAAGGATTTCCCACACTGATTACATTTGTTGGGTTTTTCTCCCATGTGAGTTTTCTGGTGTACAACAAGGTCATAGCTCTGGCTGAAAGACCTTCCACATCGAGCACATTCATAGGGCTTTTCTCCAGTGTGTTCTCTGGTGTACAAGCTTAGAGCGACAGCTGAAAGATCTTGCACACGGATTACATTCATATGGCTTCTTTCCAGTCTAAATGATGTCACAGTAAGTAAAAGATGAGGCCATGTGGGAGGCATCACAGTCCTCCTCATATCTGAGGAGTGCCTCTCCAGGATAACTTATTTCAGTCTGTACAAGGAATCCATCACATTCAAACTGACTCTCCAAATGCATGGGCTGTGTTCATTAAGAGACATGCTATGATTAATGTTTCCATAGTTCTTACCATCTTTGCTCTTCTCTGCTGAAAAAATTCTATTAAGAAAACGAAAGGCAGTACCATAGTTGAAACAGTCACTACTGACAGTATAATCATAAGGCTTTTTATTTCCTGTTTCAAAATCTGCAAGTTTATTCAAATAAATAATCTGACAGAAGGCTCCAGCACTTTGATGATCTTCACAGGGCTTCAGATCAGCCCAGTCTTTCTAATGATTAATGAAAACTGAGTTCTGTTTCAACTTTTTACCCTGTGAGTTCTTGTAGGTAATGTCAGAGGTAGAAGGCTTAAACTCAGATAATTTTCCTAAGCTCAGGCTAACAACTCTCACCTTGAGCAAAACGTCTCTCTGAGGTGAGTACTGTTTGATTCAGAGTCCTACTGGTTCTTCCCCAGCTGGTCCTGCCAAAGGTGCATTTCTCCTAATGACACCAACCTGGGGCCCTCCTCCTGAATGTGGAGTTTCATTTCCACGTGATAAGATGGCCCTTCCACAGCAATATCCTCTTCAGACACTGACTCTTTCTAGTCTTCCAGTCTGAAAGAAATCCAAATGGCCTGAATTACTGGAGAAGCATTAGAAGGGGAGCGTGGGATAAAACAGATCATCAAGTATGAGAGATATATCTCTGGGTCTGTTTCTAATCCATGAACTGTAATTTCATGCAAGATGTGAAATGGAGGGATGGCTCAGTAAACAGGAAATCAGTGTGTGCGTGAGTCCCTTAGTCGTGTCTGACTCTTTGCGAACCCATGGACTGTGGCCCACCAGGCTCCTCTGTCTATGGATTCTCCAGACAAGAACACTGGAGTGGGTAGCCATTCCCTTCCCCCTGGGATCTTCCCAAGCCAGGGACTGAACGCAGGTGTCCTGCACTGCAAGCAGATTCTTTACAATCTGAGCCACCAGGGATGCCCAGGGATTATCTGGGTGGGCCCCAAATGTTATCACAACTGTCCTTGTAAGAGGGAGGCAGAATGAGACTTGATACACACAAAGAAGACAATCTGAACACAGAGCAGAGACTTAAAGGTGCTGGCCTGAAAGACTGAAGTGATGTGGCCACTGACCAAGGAATCCCTCCAGCCACTAGAACCTGGAAGAAAAAAAAGAACAGCTTTTCTAATGAAGCCTCCAGAGGGACAATGGCCTGTGTGCACTGATTTCAGCCCAATGATGCTGATTGTGACTTATAGCCTCCAGAGCTGTGGGAAGATCAATCTGTGTTGTTTTAAGTTACCCAGCTGGTAATCTGTTAGAGAAGTCAGGAAACAAGATCCTAACATGTGCCTCAACCTTATGACTTACACTCAGTCTATTTCCTGGTGGTGAATATTAAAATGAGACCCCAAATACCAACGATGATTTAATATTCTTAATGGACCATTTCTACCATTGTTTCAGGCTGCCCACGGAGAGAGAAAAAAAAGGGTCTCTTTAACCATGCCAGAATTAATGCCACAGACTCCCCAGAAAATTACCGGGGTCCTTGAAGCAGTGTGCTTGGCCAGTGGACTCCACCAACTGACAACTTCTGAGGTTCCATTTTCTTGGTGCTAAGCCAGGAATAAGAATGCTAAGCTAGCAAGGGTTACTTTGAGGCCAAAGTGAATCCGTTTGTGAGCCTCCCGCGGTGTTTGGTGCATAGGGGACCATGCTGTACATGGTTCTGCTGATGTCACCACGCTCGTCACTGTCACGAGAGGGGTTCCTTCGTCTGTTGAAGATACTGTGCTCAGCTGCTCAGTCAGGCCTGACTCTTTGAGACCCCATGGATTGCAGCCCGTCAGGCTGTTCTGTCCACGGTATTTTCTAGGCAAGAACACTGGAGGGGATCCTCCTCCAGGGGATCTTCCCAACCCAGGGATCAAATTCGAGTTTCCTGCATTGCAGGTAGATTCTTTACTGCTGAGCCATCGGTAGTAGGCCTCTAACAAAGAGTGTGATGGGCTCCCAGCTCAGGACACTCAAGTGAGTCCTCCAAGATTCACCTTTCACTTATCACTCTGCCCACACAATTGCCCTTTTTAAGTGGGTAGCCACCCACATCCAATAATATTAAGGCCTCTGTCCAGGTTCCCATCCCTTTTTCCCATGCCTGTCAAGGAGACAAGCATCCTCCATCTGGCAAAGTATGACTTCCAGGAGGATGTTTTCCTTGTGCCAAACACAGACCTTCCTTCCCTCTTGGGGAAAGCCCTAATCTCTGCCCAACACTCCCACAACCAACACTGTCCTCCTTCCCAAGACCCTGCTGTGTTCCTTTAGGGTTCTGCCTTGGCATCTCTGATGAGAAGAAATTTTCAAATGAAACAACAGCCTCATGAAGGGGAGTAAAAGAGTATCTGGGGATGAAGGGGAGGAAAGGAATCTTTGCATGGCTAAGCTATGTCTAAGATATGCCTGGCTGTTGAAAAAATGGGCAGAGGAGGCTAAAATTCTACAGGAGCATCTGCATCAGAATCTTGAAATAAGGAACACAAACTGTGTGGGTCAGCCAGAAAGTAATGTCTAGGGTAGAAGAGAAGAAAAGATACTGCTAGTAAACTGAATTCAGAACGATGTCATTTGAGTGCCAAGGGTAAGTAAAAGTAGATAAGACTTCCAAGTAAGAAACAAGAGAGGCTGCAGACATGACAGTTACAGGGTAAGAAGGAGCAGGAACACATGGGATAAATCAAACACCTATAGGCTGGCAGAAGGTGCTGTGATGGACATATATGCTGCTTACTGTTAAGTGAAAGCAGCCTCTCAGAAAGGACCATGTACTGCATGATTTCAACCATAGGACGTTCTAGAAAAGTAAACTTATAGAGACAGTAAATTAATCAGTGGTTTCCAGGAGTTAGGGTGGAGGGAGGGACGAACACGTGAAGCACAGAGGATTCTTAGGGCAGTGGAACTACTCTGTACACTACACCAGTGGATATATAACATCACATATTTGTCCAAACCCACAAAATGTACAACACCAGAGTGCACCTAATGTAAACTACTGACCTCTGATGGAAATAATTAATTGATGTAAGTTCATCAATTGTAACAAATGTACCACTGAATGCAAGATATTAATAATAGGGGAAACTGCATGGGGAGGGTTGGCATAAAGAAACTCTGAACTTTCTGTAAGGATGAAACTGGCTCTAAAAAATAAAGTTTAATGAAACTGGCTCTAAAAAATAAAGTTTATCAGTTAAAACAAAATCAGTTAAAAAAAATCAGAAGCAGCCCAATTAGTCGGGGAGATGACCATGTTCTAAAATAGACTGGTGGTGATAAATACACAAGCTGCAACTATATTAAGAAACTCTGCAAGCTTTATACAGATGAACTGTATGGTATGAGAATTGTTTTAATATTTCCATATAGCTCTAAGAGGAAAAAAAATTCCAATTAGGCTGACAAGCAGGGTAGGTGGTGGGCCTATGGGATGAGGGGAGGTGGGAAAGCAGGTCCAGGAATGGTGATTTAGTAGGAATCCTTCTGGAAGGCATGGATTCTTACCACACCTTGGGATCATTTCGAAGTCATGAAAATGTCCAACATTGGAACATGGACACGGTCCAACATGGAACACGGTGGGCATCCAAATGGCAGAACAAAGACCAGCAGGAAGGGGAGGCCTGAGGAGCTGCCACCCTGGATGGAAGTTACGATGAGGGGTTGGAGGAAAACAGGAGGCATGAGGATCTGGGAATGAGACACGGTAGCAGAGGAGTCAAGACCAAAGGGAGACGCGGACAGAAGTGAACTCACGTGTGAGACACATGTTGACACCAGCAACGAGTGTGCTCTGTGGGTGGGCTGGGCAGAGACAGTCTGACAAGGATGAGAACGTGGCTACCATGTTGGACATGAGGTGGCAGCAGAGAACACCTGAGCAAACTCCCTGCAAGCGGCCTCTCTGCTCCCTGGACTTGAACTGTTGAGCCACTGGCTTGTTCTCACCTTGGGGAGGTCCCTGCTCCACTCTCCAGTGGTCCTCCCCTTGCTCCAGCTGGGAGATCACATTTAGTTTCAAGAGCAGAAGTCCTGGTCAACGGAGGAAAAACAGAGGGCTTGGTCTTCTGCTGGGAGATAGGTCCAGCTCTCACCCCTGGGGTCAGAGGTGGATGGACTAGGAGGGGCCCCCATCCTCCTGAGTAGACTCCCCACACCCTGAACCACAAGCCACAGACTTGCCCTGGAGGAGGGATAAGCAGCAATACCCAGACCTGCATCTCAAAGGGACTCACTTCCAGCACCTTCTGAGCCAGTCCAGGCATGCCTGAAATGAGCCGCGCCCTGGGTCCTGCGATGGGCAGTGACTGCCTTAACCAGGGAGACCAGGTGACTACAGGTCTCAAGAGCCACCTCACGGTACACCATCCTCTGGGCCAGGTCCAAATGTCCCCACTCCTCCCATGTGAAGGTCACAGTCATGTGCCTGAAGCTCACAGTTGGCTGAAACATCACTGATGGTACCACGGAGCCCTGCTTTCTTGACGAGGAAGTTGGGGATAGGACAGCACAGGAGAGGGAGAACTCCTTGGTCAGATCAGACTCGGACCCAGGTCCAAGGTGTTTTCATTTTTCTCTGGGTATCTAATCTACTGCTAGTTGCATCGCTGATCTCAATTTTCTGCTTTGGGAACAACGGGGACCCCTCTTGGGACATTTTCACCCCCAGCTCTGTACAATATCAGATTGGAAACCAGGCAAAGAGGATGCTCTAAATCAGGGGTCAGCGCAGCCATGACACAAATCAGGGCTGTGGTGTGTTTCTAGGAAGCTAATGCCATGAGCTCAATTGCTTCCTCGTGAATCCACATGTGAGCCACCTAAGGGTGACTTTGGCGCTTTACGGGCACACTCTCAGCTGCCCTCCTGAGTGGTCTCGGTGAGGGTCAATGGGTTAGAGTGGCTGCCTGTTTCTGGAGGCTCAGCTCTATTCACCCTCAAGGGTCCACTGAGCAAACACCATGAAGAAGTCTGAAGAGACTTGGCCCAGAGCCCCAGGTTTGGGGAATGCCTGGCTCATTCATGTGGGAGCCCGTGCACTTCACCCCAAGGCACAGGGCAGCATTACAAGAACTCTGATGTGCACTGACCTGAGGAGGTGGGTGTTATTCCTGGATGCATTCTACAGCCACGGAGACTAAGGCAATGAGAGCAAAGGTCTTCAACTCACCTAGGATGGGATCTGCTGAAAATATGCTTCCATTTCCTCCACATACCTGGAGATGCTGTTGTGAAGAAGGCAGAGGTCCTCAGAAAGCAGGGCTGGGGTTGGGGGAACAATTAGGGATTTAGTCTCTACCTCAGTGCCTCCACACTCCCAAGTCCACCCCCATAACCAAAGGCGAGAGCAACCAGTGTCGGCTGAGGACTATCCCCTGGGGAGCGAAGGGCAGGGCTCTGACCATGTGGTCTTCCTGTTCAAGGCTCTGAGGTCAGCCAAGGTGGCTGAGCTCTCTCACTGAAGAGGGCCAGTCTGCCTAGCTCTGGGCCTGGGCTGTCACAGGCTCAAGGTAAATATCTTGAGGCATGTGCTGGGGTGTCTGAACCATGAACCCAAAGACACACAGCAGCACCTCAACACTCAAATAAAGGAGGAGCCAGTTTTTCCTGTCATCTCAAGATACTAAATAGAGATAAATGGAGGTAGTGTCAAAACAATTGATTGTACAATTAAACAAAAAATCTCAGTGAATCATCAGCCGGTTTCTAAAAATGGAGGTGGGGGAAGGGGAAAAGGAGCATATGAAAATCCCCAGGAGGACAACTAAGGGCACTCTGTGAGGGGGTACCCAACTGCTGGACCTGCTGGGATGCTGCCCAACTAGCCAGAAGTCATACCTATTATCCCCTGCTTCCCTTAATGCTGCCATTGCTTCCCAAACTCTGCTCATCTAGGGTCCTGGCTGTAGTCACGTGACAGTCCCACTGAGACAGCCAGGCAGAAATCCTCCAGATATTATCCCAAACCCTCCCTCATATCTGACTCTCTCTCACTCTGTACCAAAAGCACAACCATGCTGCGCTCCTGCAGGTGTGCACACACACACACACACGTACACCACACCTAAGAAGACCGCTCAAGGCTCTATGTGAAGCTATCTTGTTCTGACATTCCTGTCCATCCATGGGCAATCTCCTACTACGGGTGTTCATTTTCACCCTCTGGTCCTCTCCTTCCTTGTTGGAGACATCCCAGGGCGAGGGCTGGGAACGCCTTCCCTCCACAGCCAGACTGCCTGCTTTCAAAGTCATACCTCCACCAGTTGCCTCTGGAGGACCCTGAACAGGCCTCCTCAGCCTCTCGGGGCCTCATCTGCAGAAATCTGGGGGAGCAGGCCTGCTTTGTGGTGCTGCTGTGATGATTACAAGAGTTGCATTTACAGAGTTTAAAACTTGTGCTGACACACAGCAGGGGCCCCAGCAGACTTAATTCTACTGGTTACACCGGACATAAAACTTCTTTCCCTCATGCTGGACCTCTTTCTAGAGGCCTCTCTTTCTCCTCTTTCTAGTTCCTTTTATCCCTGCCTGTGAGGGGGTGGGGTTTCAAGTACTGCGCCAGGCCTTATGTCCAGCCCAGACCTCCCTCCCAGGGTCCCTCCCATTGCCATTCTCTCCTCCATATCCAGCCATGCCTCTAAAGACTTGATGAAATAAAAATTGTATTTCATGGCAAGACAAAAACAAGACAAAAAAATTAAACATAAACTTTTTCGTTGCTCATCTGGGCCTCCTCCCTCCCATTTAGTGTGCACGGTGCATCCACATTAACCATATCTGCTTAGGGGACAAACTTCCTTCTTTCTAAGGAGTCACAATGACCCGCTACTTGCTTTGTACTGCAGGGCTGGATTATATCAACTGTCAGTTCCTCATCTGACACATGGCCCTTTGTCTCAAAAAGTATGTAACTGCGCTTTGACCTGTAGGGTGGAAAAATCCTCTGAGCTTTCTGAAAAGCTACTTCCTGAGTTATAATCCTCAGGCTTGAATAAAATGTCCCATTTCCTTCTTAGAGCAATTACTGATTAATTTCTTCGTCCACAGACTGAAAACAGCTGATAGCGTCCAGGGTTCCCTCAAACTTTGCACTGCGGCCTTCATCTTGGCTCCTCACTAGAACCGGAAACTCAAGAGCCCTCCTCACACTTTCTACTCCCTCGGCACTGCCCCTCCACTGAGCCATCCACCGCCGGGTGCTACTATTTACTGAGGCTCTGAAACACAAACCCCAGCCCTCACGCACCCGGCAATTCTCCGGGTGTGGCCCGCTCTCCACACCTCCAGTCATGTTTACCGCTCCAGCCCCTTCTCACACCGATCTTCCCGGCTGGGGCAGCATCACCAAACACAACCAACACGGGCCCCCAACACCCAGGTCCGGAGTTTGCCAGTGCCTTTTGCTCTGCCAAGACTGCTCGTAATTCTCTGTCCACCAGGACAACGTATACTTTCTGTTCAAGCTGAGTTCGAAACCCACGTACCAGTGGAAGAACTGTGTCCACGCACTGGGCTCGAGAGGCCTCTGGGGCACAAGGGAGCCTCCGCTCAGGTTCCCGGGCCAGGTTCACCTGCGCCCGCGAGTATTGGCGGCACTTCCGGTAGGTGGCGGAAGTGCGCCCGCTCGGCGCGAGGAACTACAAGTCCCAGAAAGTCGTGCGCCGGTGGTTGTTTTTCTCGCTCTGGTGGCTGTTTCTCCAGTTGCCGCAGCAGACGTTACTTCTCGCGGCGGCGGCATTGTGGCCTTTGGCGTCTGGGCCTGGAAGTTGAGGGAGACCACTTGCTGAGGAGCACGGAAGACGTTTTCGCAGAGCTCGCTAGAGCAGAGGAGTCTGCTACAGCGGGTGTTTGGAAAGGCTCAAAGGCCGGCCAAGGAGAGGGTAGGGCCTCGGGTGTGTTCTGAGTGTGGAGTATGAAAGTTGGAGGCCGGCTAACTAGCAGTGCGTCATCCTATGTGGTTGCTTAGGGAAGCTTGTTTGGCTTTCTCCAGTTGGTCCTGAGTGGGACAGGGGCAGAAAATAGGGAAGCTGGGAGTTAGTGAGCAAGTCCTGACTTGTTTTGGACCTGTTGCTACAGAGATGGTGGGTCAGAGAGTTTTGTTTCTGTGGTCTGACCATTGTGTGCATATTCAGCCTCACTGCTTTGTGGGACTGAGACCGCAGACCTGCTATCCCGCCCTGGCTCTTCAAGGTGGGAGAGACCACAGAAAACCTTCCAAGGCCGGCCTTCTGGCGGGAACCACTCTGGCTCTTAATGAAAGAGGTTATCTGTGATAAGCTCTTCACTGAATACTTTCAGTATTTAGACATCACTTAAAACTTAATTTATAATTATGCAAAGTACTTTCATGGTTCCAACATGAAAACTACAGACACAAAAGTGTACTAAGAGAAGTCTAGCCTCTTTGGCTGCTCATCCCTACATCCCTGTCCTCTCCCATTGGTAATTATAAGTTTTGGATTATCCTTCCGTTTAAAAAGTATAAGCAATGCATTCTGTAAGTGTATCCCACACTCTTCCTTGGGTAGAAGCTTCACTACTATGCACAGTGTTGGCACACTTCATTGTTTTCCACCTAACCGTTTGGTGGGAGACTGTTCTCAGAGCATCACTGTGTCAGGACTGCAGTGCCTTCCACCAGCCCGCTACTGATGACATACGAGCTCTACTGAGTGTTTCACAGACAGTGCTGCAGTGGATATTCCTGTGCCTACATCATTTTGCATTTTTGCCAGTGTAAATTTGGAATAGATCTCTAGAAGTGGGATATTGGGTCAAAGGTAAGTGTGTTTTTAATTTTGCCTAATTCTTGTCCTTTGGGGTTACACCTGTTTGCGTCCCACCAAATCACTGCAGATGGTGACTGCAGCCGTGAAATTAAAAGGCACTTGCTCCTTGGGAGAAAAGTTATGACCAACCTAGACAGCAGATTAAAAAGCAGAGATATTACTTTGCCAACAAACGTCCATCTAGTCAAAGCTTTGGTTTTTCCAGTAGTCATGTATGGATGTGAGAGTTGGACTATAAAGAAAGCTGAGTGCAGAAGAATTGATGCTTTTGAACTGTGGTGTTGGAGAAGACTCTTGAGAGTCCCTTGGACTACAAGGAGATCCAACCAGTCCATCCTAAAGGAAATCAGTTTGGATATTCATTGGAAGGACTGATGCTGAAGCTGAAACTCCAATACTTTGGCCACCTGATTCAAAGAACTGACTCATTGGAAAAGACCCTGATGCCAGGAAAGATTGAAAGCGGGAGGAGAAGGGGGCGACAGAGGATGAGATGGTTGGATGACATCACCGACTCAATGGACATGAGTTTGAGTAAGCTCTGGGAGTTGGTGATGGACAGGGAAGCCCAGCATACTGCAGTCCATGAGGTCGCAGAGTCGGACACAACTGAACAGCTGAACTGAACTGAACAGTGTTTGGTAGGGCCTGTTCCTCACAGTCTCATTAGCTGGTTATGGCATCATAGTTTTTAATCTATACCAATCTGATAGGTAAAAAGTGTTATTTCAAAATAGTTCTAATTTGCATTCCTCTAATAAATGAGAATTTCTCTAGTTATGAGCATTTTTAATATATTTAAGAAGCATTTTTTTGTTTTGTGAACTGTTCATATTGTAGCCATTTTCAGTAGGCTTGTTGATCTTTTACTTTAGCTTTGAAAGTTCCTTACTGATAATAATAACTTTGCAAATTGCAATTTTTGACAGTTTGTAATCTGTTCATGTTAACAGTGTTGTGGGGTTTTTCTTACCCAACAACAATTGGTTTTCTTCCCCAATAAATAGAAACATTTATTTTTACACTATCAAATTTATCAGTATTTTCCTTTACTGCTTTTGGATTTTGATTCATGGGTAGTAAATATTCTCAAGTTTTGGGGAAATTCACCCATGTTTCTCCTAGTGCTTGTATGTCATATTTTACATTTAAATCTTTAATCCACTCAGAATTCATCCTAGTATGAAGTGTGAGGAATGGATTTCATTTTCTCTTTTGCAGGTATACTAAGTATACCTGTATATGGTATACTAAGTAGTTTAGCTAAAGTCTACTTTTTCCTCATTGAGGTGCCCCTTTTATCACTTAACACATGCAATTGAATCTATTTCTTAGTTTTCTTTCTTTTTTTTTTTAAGATTGTATTACTTGATTTTATTTTACACTAGGTGGTGGACACAAAAGCAATCCTCCTTAATAAAACTGACAATTAGCTTCACTCAGGACATTTTTAATAATGCACATTTAAAAAAAGTATTCATCTTACAAATTGTTCTGCAATCCAAAAATACAACAGCTTGGAAAACAATGTTTAGAAAACAAAAGCCAATGTAAAAAGACAGATTAAAACAACTAGAACGGTACAGGTTTTATATGGCTCTGATTTTACAGTTTTCTTACTGCATCATCAATGTCAGAAATCTGTTCCTTCAGCTGGCTCCATTGTTCGGGATTTAAAGATATACCTTTTCTTCCTGGTTTCATTTCACCTTCTGGATCCATCCAATATTCTCTAATATCAATTAAGACTTTCCCTTTAAAGTCCGGAACACTAACATACCTCGTTTTCCCAATCTGAAACATGTTACCATCTCTGCTGCTGCTGCTCTGCTTGGAGGATGACAGTGCTCTGGAAGTTTCACCAGTTTTTTGCTTCTTTACTGGTTTTTCTGGAGCAACTTGCTTTTTCCTCTTTAGCTTTTTGTCAACTTCACTGTCAGAATCGCTACCAGAAGAGCTTGAAGAAACAAGTTCCTTTGACTTAGGCATTCCACCAGGGACCGGGCTGCTGCAGCTATTTCTGAATTTTCTTTTCTGTTGAATTGGTCTGTCTACTCACATGCCAGTACCACAACTTTAAGATTATAGATGCTTCATAATATGGTTTACTAGCTAGTAGAGTTGGCACTCCCACATTACCTTTCATCTTCAGGGTGTTTCTGGCTTTTCTCTCTTGTTTATTATTTAGCCCTTATAAACTGACAGGTGTTGAAAGAGGAGCTAGTAATAATAGTAATAAGAATAGTAATAGCTTAAGAGTTTGCTGACTACCAGCCTGGTAAAGCACACGTGTATTGATTCAGTACTCCTCTTAGCAACCCTATATTAACTTCCACTTGGAACAGATAGGAAAACCGAGGCACAAAGAGGTTAAGTAATTAACTTGAGTGGCAAAGCTGATAAGAAGCAAAGCCCAAGATTTTGAACCCAGGTCATCTTGCTGCAGAGCTTCCCCCCCTCCCCGCCCCCAAATATATGCCAGTTCTAGATCAGACTGACTTGGAAACCCGAGATTCCCTCCACTCCTGGTTTGGTCTTGGCCATGTCTCCTCTCCTCTGGAAGATCAATTTTCTTGTTGCCAGGGGAGCCCTCAAAGTTGGAGTGTAAAAGCTGAGTGTTGGCAGGAACCACTCTGCCTCACATGGATGAGTGGAGCTTGTAGGCAGAAACCCAGCACCCCACCCAGGAACAGATGGAACACTGCTGAACAGCTCTCCTACCAACCGGACCCTGCAGGCTTGGGTGTGCTCGTAATTCCAGGAACAATCATTGCTCTGTTGGGCAGCGCCTCATGCAACTCCAGGGGGTGCCCCTCCCATGCAGAACACGGCTCTCATCTCTTTCCCATTTTGTCAGGTTTTAGCTTTTCTTTCTCTTGGTGTCATGAAAGGAACTCCTGCCTTTGGCTGTTCCCACTGAAAAGGCAGCAGGGATATTCTCTGCCACTTGATAACCTGCTTTATCAGAGGATCACCTCTCAGAGGTAAGGAGACTTGTCAGCCACCTATTGCTGCATCTTGTGTGAGTAAATGTTAATTAACCTCTAAGTACAATCTCTAATTCTGTCTCATCACCAATGTGGCCCTTACACTTCTGTTAAGATGTGGGGCTGCCTGTGAGAATGCCCATGCTGAGACCTAGCCCTGTATTCCTGGAAACAGCAGCAGTGAAAGAAGCCTCTACTCTTGTGCTCCTGGAAATAACTTCTTTGCTAGGTGTCCTATTTAAACAGTTTGAAAGTGGGCACCTCATGCCAACTTAACACCTAAGATGCACCTTGGAGTAGTGCCAAGTGAACCTGGCAGAGGGCTTCTTGTTCCTGAGGGCTTGATTTCAGCAAACAGTAGGATCCAATAGGGAAGGAGCTTTTGGACCCACTGCAGAGGTGGGGACAAATGCCATTCTCTTTAAGAAGTTACCTTGCTGGTGTCAGAAGCATGGTCGAGCAAACGCTCCCGTCTCTGAGAGCTCTGGTTAATGTCTAGTACAGATGCACACTGCACGTTCGGGAGGGAGAGGAGGTGCGAACAATTTTCGGTTTAACTTTTTCTTGCTCCTCCCTAAAACACAGATTTTCTTTCATTAAGTGAAAACAGCGAACACTGACCACCAGGAAAACCATAGCCAGCTCGTGGAATGGATCCCAAGCTTGTTTCATGTCAGACACTCAGGTGAGAAACACTCAGGAGATGGGCAAGGGTTGAAGCTGTTCCCTCCTGAGACAGGCTGGGACCTGAACCCTGGGATCCTTTGCTGCAGTGCCTGCACCTGGACAAGTGGTCTCCTCCAGCAACAAAAAACTAAGAAGCTAAAAGGGACTAAAACTAGCTGTGTGCCTACACAGTTGGGGCACATTATCAATGATGAGATACAAAAAGACCAAAAACTGAGCAGAAGCAGGGTATTGGCATGCACCCTGTACAGAGCACCACCCAGGGGGTGGGCAGACCACCTAAGTGACCCCTCCAGCCCGACTCCTGGATACACCCCTGCTCTCTCGCCACAGCTGTCTCCTCCGCAGGAAGCCGGCAAAGGAAGCTGTTAATTGTTTTCCCTCACCTGAGCTGCAGCACAAATCCCAATAAAGCCTTGCCTGAATTTCTTGTCTGGTCTCTTATCTGGAACTTTCACTTCTGTGATGAGATTCTTCAATGGATTTCAAGTCCCCTCCAGAGGAACTACTGGGTACTCTTAATGGTAAATCCCTGGAACCTAAGAATGATAGGTGTGGCTGTCACACACTTTTTACTTCCCAGAAGCCAGGTACACTTAGCCTCTCAGTTCTTTATCCTGCTTCTTCCTGATATCCTCAGACAAAGAAGGAGATAGTCCACACGATTCTGTTTTTGTTCTGATTTTTTAAAATTTGTTAAGTATCATAGGAGCATTTAAATATTTTTAAATGGGACCAATAAACTATTTACCCATTCCACTTTTATTCTCGTCCATGTGCAAACTTTTTTTTTAAACATTATGACAGATAGCTTACAAGACGGACGAAGACGCGACAGCATCCTGCTTATCTATGAAAGGCAGTTAACACATCAGCTGGACCTATTTCCTGAATACAGGGTGACACTTCTGTTATTTAAAGATGTAAAAAATGCTGCGGGCTTGAGAAAAAAGGCCATGGAAGGTGACATTGATGGTTCATTAATAAACCCTACAGTGATTGTTGATCCCTTTCAGACAACTGTGGTCGCAAACAAAGCAGTTCACCTCTACAAACGGGAAAATGAAGACAAGAACTCTATCTACTGAAGTTATTTTCAATCTTCCCCCAAATAACAATATTTCAGAGGCCTTGAAAAAATTTGGTATCTCAGCAAATGATACTTGAGTTTTGATTGCTTATATTGAAGAGGGTAAAAAAATCAAGAATACCTAATATCTCAGGTAGAAGGTCATCAGGTTCCTCTGAAAAATCTCCCTGAAATAACAAATATTACAGAAGGAAAAAAGGTATATAAACTATCTTCACAAGAAGAAAGTATTGGAACATTATTGGATGGCATAATTTGTAGAATGTCAACAAAAGATGTTTTGTGAAATGACAGAAATATTAAAAAATTTTCAGCTTTTATAAAAACATGACAGCATGATCATGTACATAATGTATTTTTCACTTCATATAATTACAGAATCTGCATAAACATTAGAAACTACAGAATCCACATAAAACAGATTAGATATTCCCAAATGGTAAAATATCTAAGTAAAAAAGAACATTGATACTATAAGTAAAAAACACTGATACTACATTTTCATCAACTGTTTGAATCTTTAATCATCTGAGGAAACATTTCCCCACATCAGTGCCTATTTTATTGTCCTTGTTCCTTCTCAAATCTAGGCCTCAGTGCTATTAAGAACACTGTCTAGTTGATCACCTTTAGTAGGATTGTCTTTTAAGGAGTCCTACAAAAGCAGAGGTGCAGAGATTGACCATATGTCATTACACTAAAAACTGTTAATAGTTTTCTTCAAGGATGAGTTCTCTGATATGCAACAAGGGAAGAGCACCACGTGAAAGCATTTCTTCACTGACTGTATGCATAAAGTTTTTTTCACTATGAATTCTTTGGTGTTCCATAAGTCAGATGGTCTGCTGAAGGCTTTTTCACATTACATTCATGTGGTTTTTCTACCTATATATGAATTTTCTGATTCACAATAAGATAAAAATCTCCATCTAAAGATTTCCCACATTGGTTACATTTACAGAGATTCTCTCCAATATGGATTCTTTGATGTCCAATAAGGTGAGAGTTCCATTGGAAATACTTTTCCCATGACATTTATGAAGTTTTTCTCCAATGTGAGTTCTCTGAAGTGACATTTCAAAGTGAGAACTCCAACTGAAGCATTTCCCAACTGATTACACTTTCACATTGAAGAGAAAGGCTTCTCTTCAGTGTGAGTTCTTTGATGTGAAATTATATCAGAGCTCTGAAGGAAAGATTTCTTATATTAACTGTACTCATTAAGACTTCTCTCCAGGCTGATTCATGTCAATGTATGACAAAAACCACTACAATATTGTGAAGTAATTAGCCTCCAACTAATAATAAATAAATAAATAAAAAGAAGGAACAGAAAAGGTATAGAAAAAAAAAGACTTCTCTCCATTATTTGATAGACATTAAAATAAAGGAAATAAAGGAAATGACTGAAAGACTTCCCACATTGATTGCAACAGAACAGTTTTTCTTCAGTATGAGTTTTCTGATGCCTAATTAGTTGAGAACTCCAGCAGAAAGCCTCCCACATTCATGGCATTCATGGAGCCTCTCTGTAGTACAAATTTTGTAATGTCAACAGGTGGGAGCACCAGGTGAAAGACTTCCCACCATCGATCACATTATGCAGTTTTTCTTAGGTATGAGTTCTTTAATATGCAACCAGATGAGACCTCCACTTAATAGATTTACCACACTAATCTTGTCATACTCTCCAATGAGTTAAGTCCTATCATTCTAATTCTATACATAAACACATACCTCCAATTTTTAAAGTGTCCCTTGAGGGATTGTTTCAAACTTGACACTAACCTCCAGTAGGTCTTGACATACACAAATATCATGAACAATGCTGCAAGTGGCAATTGTGAATGAAGAGCTAGGAAAAGAAGGAAGACCATATAATTTGGTGGATGAAGATCCTGAGGAATTGGTCATCCATTAGCTCATTCCCTACTCTGAAAAAGCTCCACTCTCATACGGCAAAGTCCTTATTTGACCTTTATTAGAGCCCTGAGAAATTGCTTTAATCCTTTATGTTTCAGCTTTACCTTTTCCTATTTTCCATTGGCCATATTTTTCCAATTACAATCTAAGCCCCTAGGGGCTGGAAGATGATTCTCACGTGGCCTTTGAATTCTTTTCTGTAGGCATTCAAGGCCTGCTTGTTGAGCAAATAATTGGCTCTGCTGCTAACAGTTTCTGTCCCCACAAATAGGAAGAAGACTGCCAACCTGGCAGATTGTGCACACCAAGAAGATACTGAAGCCACATGGGAGCCCTCTTGGTTGTCCAGATGGTTGGCATTCATTAAATTCCAGCTCCAAAAGAACAGCTGTAATGGTGATTGTTTCTATGTTCTGTGATCTGTGGATATGAGGCAGAAGCCAGATCTTAGCTTGTGACTGCCTTCAGCTGACACAATGTAATAAATCCTGCATCACTTTATCCTATGTTAAGTGTGAACTCTTACATTCACACCAGAGATGTGTCTCGGGCCTTCTGAAGCAGTCAACTTATGACATGAAGTTACCCACAGCCTGATATCTTTCCTAACTAAACCTTTATTACTTTCATGTTTCCTTTAGCGACAGAGTGGTGAGTACAGAGGCTCCTGCCATGAGACTAGGGCACTGCTGGCCCTCCTGGTGGCATCATCCACCATTCCCTTGGTTGATCATCCTCTAGTTCACCATCCAGGCTGCTCATATAATCCTGACAGATGTTCATTCATCTGAAAGAGGTTAGTGCAACACCCGCCCTCCTACCTGCTGATCATGCTCCCAGAGCATTTCCTTCACCTGCCTCCCCACACACTCCCCTTAAGCACTCTGGGACCATCCTGGGACAAATTCCGCGTCCACCCAGGGCCCATCCTTTTGTTTCAACATTGCTTCTTTTAACTAAGTCATTAGTGAAAAGATGGTTAATTAAATAGGTGGAAAAAAACACACAGAGACCCTACTACAGAAATATAAAGTTTATTTATCTATGTTCTCTTTCAACCCTTGTCCATATGCATAAATACTTTACCACAAATATCAGTGCAGACTTCTTGGTATCTTTTTTTTAAACTTACATTATAAGCACTTTCAGGTTTCACTAATATCACTTTTAACAACC